TGCCCCCCTCTTTCGCACCCAAGTCCTGGGCTCTGCTTGTGGGGCTTTCAAGACAAACCGAGGGAGTGGGCGCACCAGTCCCGGTGAGATCCTGGGGCTGAGCAAGGATTCGAATCCAGGGCACTCCATCGCTTGAAAGCCTGACTGCCAGGGAGGCTGGCCAAGTCTTTGGGTTCGAGTCCCGAGTCCGAGTCTTTGGGAGCAACGTTCGTGTTGACGGCTGTATTTCAAGGCGAGCTTTCGTGGATCAAGGCCACTTCCTCAGGCACGAAACCTTATCTGGGAGAACCGGGCTTGATCCGCATTAAAAGCCACAAGGAGTCTTTGAGGTGCTGTAATGTCTTTTCTCTCTCCTTTGAAAACTGTGCTTCAAATTGGAGTCATCAAACGATAGCTATTTTTGCTACCTTTATAAGTGGCAAGCCCGACTGGTTGAAAGGAGAGGTCAGCGGCAGGTCCTGCAATGCAATTTTTTTTCTCGCTGGAAAAAAGCAAGGAGAGACCTCTGTAGAAGATTCAGAAACCATAAAATCTGCCGGCTTGACTCAGACGTTGGAAAAAAACAGGGTCTGAACAATGAAACTCTAAGCATCGTAGGTGGTCTGACTTGTTTTTGGTTGGAATAGAGATCTCAGATCCAAACCCATTAGGAAAAAGGAGAAATGGAGTAGCAACTTCAATACCTCATGGTCTGAACCGGGAAGACAACACGTGGCATCATCCATCTGCTTTGAAATATACCTTATCCTCCTGGTTTTATAGTAGTCAAGTGGGAAACATCTCCACCCATCTCAAGGGACTCAATATTAGCCAAGGTTTCTCAGGCCATTATGTGGGAAACAGCACACTTTTGCCAAAGAAACAGAGGAAGGCAGAAGCTGGAACAAGCTGTGATATATTTCTCTGTATGAGTCACTCTTCCAAGTGTGAATATCTGCATATATAATTTAAGTATAGATACATAATGAGATTTAAGGTATGTTGTACAGTATATTCAATGTTACACAACCTAGTTAGTGGTGCTCAGAAGAGTTGGTGTAGTTGAAATAAGGGAAATAATTTCTAGCTCTGTTTGCAAAGCTTATATCACAACATGACCTTCTCAAATGTTCAGAAATACCTACGTGTGAAGTGGTATGTTCTGTTATCTGTTAATAAATCGCCGATACTTTCTCCTGAGTACAGCAATTAATATGGGATAATTTAAAGAAAATAGATTTTTGTCTGGTCTGTATAAAACGTGGAAGCAATAGAAGCATTGGCGATCTCCCTTTTCTATGCAGAATTGTAAGTGTGTGTAAATATATTGGGCACTTTAAATCAAACTCTGGCCCGCACTTGGTGAGTTTTAAGGAAATGTAATCCTAATTTTTGTAACGCTTTTATTTATGTTCCTGCAAACTGTATTGCCGAAATCTTTCAGGTATGTGTGAGTTCAGACGACAAGTATGGGAGTACACTTTACGAAGATGGGAAATTTGAATAAAATTCCAGTTTTACACGGCTGGATCCAAAGGGGGTTAAAATGATGAAAGAGTACCGTAGTTTACTACTCTATATGAACTCCCATCTCAGTGAGTGTCTGTGCCTGAGTGGAAATTCGAACTCAGATCACCGGAGTCATAGTCCATCATTCTATCTCCTTCACCACTGCCTGGGAGGAGGAAAAGATTTGTGATTGATTGTGAGCGTGTGAGCCAAACATAGCATGGATTTTGCCCCTTCCGAACAAGTTTGCGTTTCATTGGTTCGTGTTTTCGGGAAAGAAAAACGAAAGTTCAGTTTGAAACCCGGACATCAGCCACGATGTTACCTCTATGATTTTACTAAGTTTATGTCTCTCTTGGAATGCGGAGAGAAGCTCCTCCTCCTCCTATCCTCCTCTTCCAAGGCGGTTTCCGATTGGCCAAGCCGGGTAAGGTAGCCCCGCCTCGGAACTTCCCACGACTCCTCCCCTTTGCGCCTCGGTTTCTTTTCCTTCCTATCAAAAGAGAAGCAGAACTCTTGCCCCGCCCGTTCCTAAAACCACGCCCCCGAAACCTTACGTAAGGAACCAATGGAAGGGGGTCCAATGGAAGGCGAGGGGTGTGGCTTTGAAGGGAATGGCCGCCCGGGCGGAAGCGGAGAACGAGGCCGGCATGGCTGGGGCTTTCCCGGCGATGCCCGCTGAGGAGGGGTCGGCGGTGGTCGAGCGGGGGCGGCCCGAGAGGTTCCAGCTGAGCCCCGCCGCCCGGAAGGCGCGGCCCTCTGACCTCGTGGCTCTGGCCGAGCAGTTGGAGAAGGTGAGCCGGGAGTGCCTCTGAGCACGTGCAGAATGCCCAGAAGGACGATCCAAACGTATATTGCAGGGGGGGGGTGAGGTGGGAGAGCCCTTTAAGGCCCCCACAAGCAAGAAGAGCCAACAGCTTTGCCCCACAGCAGAATAGGCTGGCGCCCTGTGGCACAAATCAGCCCATGCCAAACAAGTGGAGCGGGGGGGGGGGACACTCTTCATCCTCACCCCTGGTTAGGTCTCATCTTAGGGTAGTGGGTTCAGTTTCTGGACACCACACTTGAAGAACGATGCTGACACAGTGGAACAAAGTTCAGAGGAGGGCCCCAAGGATGATGGAAACGAAGCCCTCGGGTGGAGAGACTGAAAGAACCGGTCAGATTTAGCCTTGAGAAGACTCGAGGGGAAGATGGGATGACATTTTCCAAAGACTTGAAAGGCATTTGAGGAGGCGCAGGATCTATGCTCAATCGTCATCCCACAGTGCAGGACCCCTGTGTGTGGACAGCAGCTTTGGTTGACATATTAATATCTGAGGGAGTGGAGTATTTTGATCTACAGGGCCCGAACGCATGGAATTACAAAAAGTGTGCTTTTTCCATTACTGTGTTTCTTGTCATACATGAAATTCTTGCCAGTCAGCTGAGTCACAAACGGAGTGTGGTAAAACCCTTCTGTCCCTGTTCAAACCAGAGTAGATAAGCATTTGTAGTCCTGACTATTTCTGATTCTGCTTTCCTTGACATCTGTTGTTTAAAAAAGGCCACAGTGATGTTGAAGACTGAACTCTTCCCTCACTGCTTTGTGAACATTGTCATTTCCGACTTCCGATTTCTGTCCTTTTTCTCACTTCCGATTTATGACCCAAGGTGGGTTACATGACTATAATATGTGAAATGCAATTCTTTTTTTTTAAATCAAACCCTCTGGTTTATGAGTGTGGGGTATTGTGCTTCCGTATCCTCCATGACTCAAAAAAACAGGAAATGGCTTGATATTGCTGCACAATATAATTCCCATGTTGCCAGCAAGAAAAAGGAAACCAAGCTTTACATTGCAAAGGGCAATGTTGGCGACACCCATGGCAGCAGTCAAGATGGTCTACAGGACCCCCACTTGTGCTCACTACCATTCAGCGACACAAAGCAAGGGGAAATCCTGGAAGCTGACTCCCTTTTCCCATTAGTTCATCACTTCTCATCCAAGCCCAAAGCAATCGTCAGGGCTGTTTTTTTTTAACAGTTGTGGATGGTGCTGCTGCTGCTGAGACCTGTCTTGACTGAAACGTTGATTCTTGGTGCTGTTTGGGTAGAGATAGAAAGTGGCTCCCAACCTTGGTGTCCCCAGATGTTCTCGGACTCAAACTCCCAGAAGCCTTCACCACAAGCTGTGCTGCCCGGAGTTTCTGGGAGTTAAGAGTCTAAGAACACCTAGATTACCCAAGGTCGGGAACCACTGGCTCAGAAGAAGACCCAGCCAAATTCCTGTTCGCTCTACTAATTCTTCATTGCTTCCTGCAGGCAGATGACTTTATACGAGCGAACGCTTGCAACAGATTGACCGTGATTGCTGAACAAATCCGATACTTGCAAGAACAAGCCAGGAAGGTAAGTCATAACCACAGAGGGGAGAAGTTCGCGAACCGTTGAAGCCTGCGTAGTACTAAAATTGCCCACGATGCAGAAGAGAGCGTCCACAACCACAGAGGGGAGAAGTTTGTGAACCGTTAAAGCCTGCATAAAATTGCCCACGATGCAGAAGAGAGCGTTAAGCTTAAGGATTAAAATTCAAATTATTGATGAGAGGAGACAGGTTAAACATTAGGGCGAACTTCCTGATAGTAAGCTGACTGGATAGCTCAGTGGTTGAGGTGTCTGGCTGCAGAGCCAGAAGTTGGAAGTTTGGTTCCCCACTGGGTCTCCTGGGAGAAGAACCAGCCTGGGTAGCCTTGGGCCAGCTGCACAGTCCCACAGCGCCCCTAGAGGAAGGGAAGGGTAAAACACCTCTGAGTCTTCTCTACTGGATAACCCTGGAGAGGGTTACCATAAGACAGAATTGACTAGACGGAACAGGATGACGTGATAATGGAATAATGGCTGATCATGGAATGGAAGTCTCAGAAATGGTGGCCTCTACTTCGTTGGAGTTTTTAAAACACCGAATGAATGGTGATCTCTCACTGATACTTTTAGCTGTGGGTTTTCAAATCTAACCCGTTACCAAAAGGGCTCAAATCCACAGCTAAAAGCAAGAGAGAGAGAGATTTCCGTCAATGGAAATAAACCATCAATGGCCAAGCCTTATCAGTTTCTGTGTAACGTTGGCATTTCATTCCAATGCAAAGCACATAGAAGGACAGAAGCAAATGAAGTACTGGAGATATGAATCAGAAGCAAGGAGAATCTCCCTTCTGGGACTACAGCTCCCACAATCCACCAACCAGCAGAGGATTCTGGGACTTGTAATCTGAACTCTAACGTCATCGTGCTCTGGAAAGATCCTCTGTGCTTCTCAGCTTTGCTCCACCCTCTTTTTTTCCCCATTTTGATTCCTGTTTGCTAAGGAGAGGGAGAAACTGCTGTGCTGAGGCAGGCGAGGAAAGTCAGAATTCAAAGGTGTAGTGAAGCAGGCAAGTCCTGTCAAGTAGCAAGTCTCGCCAGCTGGTTTGGGGGCAGGATGGCTCAGCACAAACAGATCACGGCAGGTTTTGCAGAATTTTGGTGCATTTCAGCAACATCGCTTTTTTTCGGTGAGAAGAAGGGAGCTGGCCTCCTTTTCCTATGGCTTGGAAAACTTCAAGTCCCCTAAATACCATGCAAGACGACATCTTTTGCATGAGATAGGTCTAGCAGTTTTGCTACACTTTATGTGCACTTTTCACTTTGGGTGACTCACTTGGATGCAAACCCCAACGGGATTGTGAGACTTACTTAAGTAGAGTGTAGTTTTAGAAGAGATGAGCTTTTGAAAATATTTGCATACTTATTGGCCTTTGCCTTAATATTGCCTGTTAATGATGCAAGACGCCTCCTTATTCATTGTTTGCAGTTTTAAACATGGTCTTTTAATGATGTTAACCACCGTTGTAGACTCACTGTTTTCAACTTTAGATATTGTCTTACAATGTTGTAAGCCGCCTTGGGACTTTTTCGAGGAGAAAGGCAGAGTAAAAATATTTTCAATGAATAAACCACACGCCCAAGATTCTTAGAGCCCATGAATACTTACAATGTTTACTTGTGAAATATTTTATCCAGTACAGTATTTCATTTTTCTCCTCCTGTGTCTGATGAAGTGGACTTGTCCATGAAAGTTCACATTAAAATAGCTTATGTCTGATGAAGTGGACATGTCCAAGAAAGCTTGAGTTTAAAAAATTATAAAAGTTAGTCTTTAAGGTGCCACCATGTTTTTATCTCTTTTTTTACTTTTTATTTTGTTTTCACTTACAAATCCTTGCACAGACTAACATGGCTACTGTGGGAATTTTCTAGCCCCCTCCTACAACATTAAAATATAATAGTTTTTAAAGGGCCACATGGCTTTGTCTTTTTTTCCTTTGGATTCTGCCTGATAGATTTCTTTCCCTCTTTAAAAAAAAAGGTTTTGGAAGAAGCTAACCGGGACGCTGACCTCCACCATGTGGCTTGTAACTTTGTCAAGAAGCCGGGCAAGGTCTACTACCTATACAAGAGGGAAAATGGCCAACGCTACTTCTCTATGCTTTCTCCAGAGGTACAGACCTGTTTTTTTCTGGGAAGAGCCTGATAAAGTAAATGGGGTAGAAGAAAAGTGGGTAAAAAGAGAACACAGATGTGGGTTAATTGAAGGAACTTAGGGCTAGTTTCCCCCACCATAGACTTCTTATAGCAATTATAGGATTTGAACTCGCGTCTCCGGAGTCTTTATCCAGTGCTCAACAATGCACCAGGGCAGGTGGGACTTTGCCACGGGATGCATTATTTACAGGGTGCTAAAGCTCAGCGGTTTAGGTATCAGGCTGCAGACCTGGAGGTTGGGAGTTTGATTCCTCCACTGGGCTTCCTGGGAAAAGAGCCAGCCT